GGAATGCCAAGAGCTCTGTCAATTTCTTCCAGGCCTGTGGCATCTGTGTTGCTCAAGAGTGTGTGCAGCTGGTCCAACAATGCTCTTTCATCACTCTGGCCTTCAAGGTTAGAAGGTGGCCCAAGGAGATCATCCAGGGAATTCCTAAGAAGTGGCCTAAAAAGAGACTTAGATTCAATTTCAACGGTGCTTTTCCTCTTAAAAAAAAAAAGATCAAAGTAACCCCGCACAGTATTTTTAATATGCAATAACTCAAATAATACAAGCGTAAATAATAAACTAACAGAGTAGCAGAAGAGAACAAACGGCAGCAGTTTAAATTTAAGACCCACAATTTTAAACCTCACCAGGTCATCTTCGACCACCACATCTAGATTACAACTCCCAATTCCACCACCAAAATGTAATTGCTAGATCCCTTGACATTTAGAGGATAGCAGAGATTTGGGAAAGGAGATTAGAGGGATGAAGAGGGTGGTGTTTTCAAGACCCTACAAGAACAGAAGTGGTAGTAGTTAGGACATTGCAGGCTGGAGAAATCAACAAAAGAATGGGAAAAAAGGTAGAAATGCTGAACTGAGCCCAGGGTTCTACCAAAATAACTTTGTTTCATACATGGCCCACAGAGCTCATGTATCGACAAGTATAATACAAACCCCATACAAGTATAACACAAACCCCACAGCAATGCCACAGTTCTCCAACACATTACAGGGGCATGGAGCTAGACACTTATCCAGTCTCAGAAAAATCCTGTGATGAAACTATTTGTTCTCTGCTGGGTAGAGAAGCACTCAAGTTAATAAGCTCATGTAGTTACACTTCTGTCTGCTCAACAGATCAATTCATTTTTCTTTGCTTAATTTATTGTAGAACTCAAGTCAGAGCTGACAGTGACAGGTAGCCTCTTTCATGCCAATGAGTTACTGACCAAACTTTAAAAAAGAAATAGACATAACCGACAATCTTTCTTTCACAAAAATAAAAGCGTGCTATATTTCACTTTCACCTTCATCCCTGAAATGTTTTAAATAATTTTAGAAAAGAATTATCCAATCCTAAAAGATGAACTTCCCAGAAAACTGAGGCTCACCCTCTGCGGACCATTTATCTTGTCAAACTAGTGCTAATTTATCCCTCTCCTCATGGAGGAGGATTGTGACATTATGAGAGACGATCATGGCACATGGAGGCTCCCAGGTGTGACCACTCAACAGTCCCGATCGCTGAGAGATACAGTCCTGTCTCCTCCCTCTCCCATGAACGCATGCTGTCTCCTACTCAGCCTCGCTTTTACACACAGACGGCAATGACTACCTCAATTACAGAGAGTTTTTCTCATTCTCTTTCAGGTCTGTTCCTGTGCTCTCACCCTTTTCTAGATAATCCAAATGCTTACATTTTCCACAGGGTCACGTAATAAAGCCCCACCTATTTTGAGTCCCATGAGGGCCTTGTTCCATGGACAACATGCCATCTGGCCAGGAACCAGGTTGGTTCGATGGTGCTGCTTGGCCATAAGGACTGACCCCCATCCCCATGGGAATCTCACCGGGCCCTGGGGAAACAAAAAGAAAGGATAAATTTTCAAAGAAGCCAAAGGCAAAAGTTAGCCTAAAACATCTAATTTTCTTTTCTTATGAAAGGAATGCTTACGCATCTGAAGCATCTGCTGCTGTTGCTGCTGCTGCTGATGATGATGATGCTGCAACATTGGTCTCACACCTGGGATGCTACTGGACCGAAGAGGCATGGCGGGCATTGAGCCACCCATGGCAGGCCTGGGTAAAGAAGCATTATAATCCGTTCCTGGTCTCCCCATGGAGTTTGAATTCATAGGTTCCATTCGGCTGGCCTTTGAGTTTGGTAAGCCCCAGTCTCCCGAGGAAGGAGTCTGATTCACAGTCACATTTCTGTTTGGTCCACCTAAAATAGAAATTAGGTATTTTCCATATTAGAATGAAATTCTTCTTATATCATACAGGTACAGCCATTAGACACATGAGCCTTGACAATAAAAGTGCTTTGTCATTCTAAAAAGAGGGCTGGCCAACTATTAAGACATTTCTGATAGGCCACCACAGGCATACCTACACTGTATTGCGCTTCAGAGACGCTGCGTTTTTTACAAATTGAAGGTTTGTGGCAACCCTATGTTATCGGATGATGTTTAGCATATTTTAGCAATAAAGTGTTTTTAAATTAAGGTACGTACATTTGTTTTTAGACAAAATGCTATTGCACACTTAATATAGTATAGTGTAAACCTACCTTTTACATGCACTGGGAAACCAAAACATTAACGTGACTCGCTTTATTGTGATATTTACTTTATTGCGGTGGTCTGAAACAGAACCTGCAATACTGCTGAGGTATGCCTGTATTGCTATGTATTCATTACAGATTAGAAAATGTCCTGCGAGACTTCCCTGGGGCACAGGTTCAATCCCTGGTAGGAGAACTAAGATCCCACATGCCCCACAGCGTGGCCAAAGAAAGAAAAAAAGAAGAAAATGTCTTGGACTCAAAGTCTCCTTGAGAGTTTAAATCACCAAGACACAGAATAAATGAAGAATACTCATGAAAGCAACATGCTACTGTTACTCAAAATCCTGTTAATTAATTCCAATTAAGTATTTTAAATTTGCTTTTCCCAAAAGAAATTTTTAATCATTAATATTCATTAGAAATAACATATCAGGGACTTCCCTGGTGGCACAGTGGTTGGGAAATCCTCCTGCCAATGCAGGCGGCACGGGTTCAAGCCCTGGTCCGGGAAGATCCCACGTGCCATGGAGCAACTAAGCCCGTGCGCCACAACTACTGAGCCTGCCCTGTAGAGCCCGGGAGCCACAACTACTGAGTCCACATGCCACAACTACTGAAGCCCACACACCTAGAGCCCGTGCTCCGCAACAAGAGAAGCCACAGCAATAAGAAGCCTGCGCACCACAAAGAAGAGTAGCCCCCGCTCGCCGCAACTAGAGAAAGCCCATGCACAGCAATGAAGACCCAAGGTAGCCAAAAATAAATAAATAAAATTTTAAATAAAATAAAATAAATAACATACCCATGTTTGAGCCATAATTTTCCTGACTATCCATCATTCTTGGATTGCCACCCAACATGGGTTGCTTTGGTAACATGGGGAAAGCACCAATATTCTTTACTGGAGGGCTTGAGCCAACGGAAACAGGGCTGTCTAGAGACACTGCTCGGTTATATGGAGGACGAACAGACTGCACAGACTGTGGACTCCTCAAACCTGTTAAAAAAACATAAAAGCACAATACATAAATATCCTCTGATGATTCAGTACATAAATAATCAAGTACAAGACATAAATACCACCCACCCAAGAATGTCTTTCTTACCAAAATAAACACTGTCTTCCTTTACAAAATAAATAAGCCCCCCAAAAAAAGAAAGAAACAGAAAAAAGAAAAAAAAAGCCTTGTATTCCAAATAAAGTAAAAAACAAGAGTCTCGGTGTTGGCTGAAGTATCAGGCACTGCTCTCTAGCCTGATATGGTCATTCATATTCTGCTTCGCTTAATAGTAAAAATTTTACCAATGTTTCAAACTTCTGGAAGTTCTTTAACATGCATATTTAAAGTTTAAAATTTTACAACTAAATGTAACCAGATAAATTTCCTTCTAATCACGCAAGGAGTAAAACAAAATTTCCTCCTAACCTTTTTCTTTTTGTTTTTTCTAACCTATTTGATTGATCTAACTTTCCATTTCAGTTTCGGAAATAGTGCCACTAAAAATGAATAACCACCTTTCCAGGTAACTGTGGATTATTCTTTTTCAATTGATATATATAAAATATCCTTGTTAAACTGATGAATCAAGAAACACTCAGCTATAGGACAGAGGTTGCGTAAGAACCAGCAAACACCAAAGTAAGTTAGTGTCAAAGGACAGGTTTTGATTTGCTTTTTAATCCAATTCTCTGTGCCTAAGACAAATAAAGGTACTAGTAGGTACAGAGTACCTACTACTCACCTGCAGCAACCAGAGAAGAACATTTTCCTATAAGCCCTGTGATTACTGGCATCATATTAGTTAGAAATGGGAAACTGTCCAAAAAGCTTTTAAAATCACCTACATTATAAATGAATAAAAGAAACTAAGGTGGAGCACACATTTTAAAGTTGGATCCTAGTTTTAATTAAGAGTACATATAGGTGTGCAGAAAAGTTCAAAGGCAGCAACAATAAAATCTAGTTCTTTCTTACCCAGAGAATTAGTTCCTTGAAACATCTGTTGCTTCGTTACCAGATTACTACCATTTGTGGATATGGAACTACTGTAGAAGTCAGAGTTAGTCAGATCACCAAGAATAGCATCTAGATTATCCAAGTCTCCAGATCCCTGAAAATAATTTTTTTTAATTAACCTGTGTACATTACTAGATACATAGGTATAAAACATACTCATCAGAGGAAAAGAGATGAAATGGGAACAAGTAAAACACAACAGTTACCTGAAATGGTAACACCCAACTTAGAGGCCAGCTAACTGATTGTTACCCCTGTCCCTACACTACTTAGAGGCCGGCTAGCTGATCCCTACACTACTTAGAGGCCGGCTATAGCTGATTGTTACCCCTGTCCCTACACTACTTCCATGCAAGTAAAACCAGCTGAAAATTCTGAAATAAATCCGTGGGTTTGGAGGTGCTTTCAAAGGGGCATTAATTTACCCTATATGTCTAATTCTCAAACTGCAGGATATTTTCCAGCAAACATGAGTCAGAATCATGAGCTGACAGAGATGTCTGCCTCTACACATACGTCTGAAAACATGTATGATTAATAATAAAAAAATTTTTAAAAAAATTTTTAATAATAATAATAAAAAAATAAGCTGATGTTCAACAAGATATTCATAGCTATGCTTTAAAAAGGCCTTTTGGTCAATATATTTGGGAAACACTAAACAAAGTTTAAACAAAGTTAAACACACATCCTAACAATAGGACTTCTCCAAGACTTTATTTAATTTTCTCAGGTGCATATTAACGTCTTCCAGAATAGTGTTCCTCAAGAGGAGTCTGGGAAATGCTTGTATAGAATGTGATCACGTATATGAAACTTGATCTTGGGTAAAAATCAAAATTCTGTTACCTAATACAAAAGGTTTTTCCCATTTCTACCATACACTTAATGACCCAATGCGCTCATTCCAATAATAAAAACGTCCATGAAAGATTTCAAATTGCCTAATAATGCAGTACAGTCACATTTGAAAGCATACGTATCTGATTATTTCTACACTGTATCATAATACACTTTACTGATGCTCAGAAGAGCTGCTGAAAAAGTGACAGCTCCAGATTAACTTCCATTAAATAAAACAGAAGGTAAGAATTTGTGTATAACACATTGTCTTTCTAACACAGAAATGCAATGCTGAAATACAATGCCTAAGCTGGAATATACAGAAGACAAGTTACCTCTTCATTTGTTTCTGTCTTAATTTTGGTGTCCTTCCCTTGACTTGAGCTCGGGATGGTGGAGCTGCTGCACTGGCTCACTTTACTGTCTACGCCGCCTTCCACTTTGGGCTGTAGTTCTTTGGAGAGCGTGTCACTAGGATCATCCCTGTCCAGCAGGTACCTAAGCAGAGCATTATTTTCCTTTCTCTTAGGGCTTAGTTGCTCCTGCTTGACGTTTCCTTCTACACAAGACGTTGTACTGCTAGTGTCTTTCCCAGTGGCTTCGGCAGTAATCTTGGCTACCTCAGCCGGTGAATTCCCATTCTGCAGCAACTTGTGCAAAATCCGGTGCTTCTCTTGCAGCAGGGATCCGTGCATATTGGATGTGGAGGACACTCCTCCAGACGTCGAAGAGGAGACCCCAGAGGGGCTGGTGACACTAATGGAAGAGTCTTTACAACTTGAATCCAGGGGCGAGTTGGTCAAGGAGGAATGACCCCGGTCCTCAGAAGAACAGGTAAGTAACTGCAGTAATTTTTTGTGACCTTTGCTTTCCAGAGGACCCCGCTGATTCTCTGGCCCTTCCACACTGCTCTCCTTACTTTCTTTGTCATTGAGGTGATCTCTGCTATTTGACTGACACATTGAACTCTCCACTGGATTCTGGTCACAATACAAGCCTAGGGGACTCTTGGAATCTTGACTGTTCACTTTACTTGGTTGACTTACATTCATATTGGGAGAGTTATCCAATTTGGGACCTGGTGAAGACAGAGTAGATAAAAGAGAAGTCCCTACTCCCTCACTGATAGCTTGAAGGGCACTGAGAGAGCTGCTAGAAAAGCTGTGACTCCCAGTATTGCCAGAAGATCCCATGGGAGAGTGCACACCTGGATTTGGAGAGAAGTCAGGAAAAGAATTAGACTATCAGATGCTATAACAAAAGACTACTTAACACTTCAAAGTTTCTGTTTTAAAATGAATTAACTTTACAAGAATTACAGTGGTATGGAAAGAAAAGAATTACTGAAAAAGAAAAAAATAAAGAAAAGGAAATGTAACACAAATACCTGCAACAGGAGAAAACTGATGTGAGGCCATCTTTGGACTCCCACGATTACGAGGAGAAATCATAATATTCTGCTGGCTGGAGCCAAGACCAGGACTCCCATGTGGAGGGCTACTCATGTTGAGACCATAGTTGTTGTTCTGGTAGGAAGATGGTGACTGCATGCCTGGCCCAGGGTTCATTGAAGCTATGCTACCGGAAGGCCCATACCTGGCTCCACTCATCTGCCCCGTGGCGCCGGGCTCAGCCACGCCGTAGGTCCTGCTGCTCAGCATCTGCAAGCCAGGGTTTGGCGACATGTTCATGCTGCCTACTGAACTGTTGCATCCAGCTGCTGGAGGTCTAATACCTTGTCCAACAGGATTCGGGTTTGGTCTATACCCATTCTGTTCCCTGCAAAGGAACAGAACAATGTTTTACTAAAAAATTACAGGCATGCGTTAAAAGCCTGAATCAGATTATTTTTTTTTTAAGGATGAAGTAAGTGTCCCAGAAACTTAACTTCTTAGGCGCCATTCCAATGCCCAGTGACAATAACAATCTAGACACTGATCAGTTATTAATCTAATAACATACTTTTAATAAGCCACAGAATCTAAATGAGTGACACCATCAGAGCGCCACGAAGGGCCCAAAGCTATGTTAGCTGCAATTTCAGTGGGGCTTTACAAGAGTTCCCATATACCAAGGGGTTAACCTGGAGGCACCTGCAAATTACTCAAGATAATTAATGGGTGAATATCCTGCTCCTTCCTGTGTTGCTCATTTACCATTAGCAACAGCAACAGTAACTATTTCTTCTTGAAGTCTACCTTCAAATTTTAAATTCAATCCCTAAAAGCAATGTAACATATCATTAGAAATGAAAAGTAACAGAGGTAGTCAGATTTTATGTATTCCTTTATCCACTAGCCTTCCCATCCTCCAGCTTTCCCAGGAATTAATTACTTAATGAACAAATCCTCATTTACACATAAAAATATAACCTTAAAGAAAACATACTTCAGGAATCTATGTGCACTTCAGCAAACCCAACCACTGCCTTTCTTCTTAATTTTTCTTCTCCCTTTTTACACTAATAATAAAGCATCTCGAGAACACTGCTGCATTTAATGAGAATACAAAGTAATCTATCATTACCTCTGAAGAAAGTGGGTTGAAACAAAGCCATGACGATCATTTGTCACAGGATTTCGGAAGAGTTTGCTTTTTGTCTGTGCAGTCACTACAGTGCCATCAGCCAACGAGAATCGATACACTGGGGTTTCTGCATGGCCATGGATATAAGCTTTTGGAGAAAATATCCCATTACTAGTAACTACAACTGGCAAAACAAATGCATACAGGAGAAAACAGAAAGGAAATATACAAGTCCAACATTTTCAAAATCCAGTGAAAGACTGGAACCCACCAAAATTAGGCTAACATAAGAATGCTCAAGAATCATCTTCCTACCCCACACAGACAAAAACAACTATGGTCATGTATATACTTATTGCTCTATAGCACATCAAACACAATGACAAACAAGATCCAGAATTAACCTCCAAATTCTTTACCTTCTTGATAGTGACGTTTCTGGGACCATGACTGCCCATCATTAAGACTAAAAAATCTCTGGATACACCTTCGGATTATATCTTCAAAACCAGGCCTCATGGAAGACCTCAGTGAATTTGTATCTATGTTGACAACTTTTCCTATTAAACAGAAAATTGCCACTGTGTTTAATTTCATCATTGTGCATTATCAACTGCACTGACTTTAATTCTTTACTCTCATGGGCAAAAAAGGGCAGACCAAAACTGAAATTCATGTTGATGTCAAGAATTACTCCCAGTAATTCCCATTAATTACCCATCTTTTTGAAATGCACTTCTTTATGAAAAATGGATTTGAAGTTACAGAAAAGAAATACTGGCTTCTGATTTGAAATGCTATTTGGAGAGAAAGCCAGGTGCGTCTACATTTTTTGTGTGTTTATCTGAGGGATTTTAAGTGTCAAACACACCCAACTTAAACGCCCAAGGTTTTGCTGAATCTCTCCTAGGGTTGTATAAGAAACATAAGGGACTTCCCTGGTGGCACAGTGGTTAAGAATCCACCTGCCAATGCAGGGGACACGGCTTCGAGTCCTGGTCCAGGAAGATCCCACATGCCGCGGAGCAACTAAGCCCATGCGCCACAACTAGTGAGCCTGAGCTCTAAAGCCAGCGAGCCACAACTACTGAGCCCACGTGCCACAACTACTGAAGCCTACGTGCCTAGAGCCCATGTTCCACAACAAGAGAAACCACCGCAATGAGAAGCCCCACGCACCACAAGGAAGAGTAGCCCCCGCTCGCCACAACTAGAGAAAGCCCCTGCACAGCAATGAAGGCCCAATGCAGCCAAAAATAAATAAAATAAAAAATTAAATTAAATTAAATTTCAAAAAATAATATTATTTTTTAAAATTTAATATAGGAAATAATCCACGCAAAGTATTCGTTACAGCGTAGGCACTTAAAAAATGATAGTGCAGGCTGTAGAAAGTTAACTTTTATAAAAATTTTCAAAATGAACAAAACATACACACACGCACAGTTTTTACCTGAAAGATCATGTCTAGTAATAAAGCTCTCAGGATTTGATGGAAATGCTCTTTCTCCTGTGGTAATGCGGCGTGCCACACAGATCATACAGGATTGCAAATCTACAAAAGAAAATTTAACCAGGTAAGGATTATACTTAACCTTTGGATGTGTCTATTCAATAGGCAAGTAAGAACATGGAATTCAGTAGGAAGAATTACAATGGAAATTACAAAACTACAAGTTTGGCTGCTATTGTTTGATAATCAGCACAAGCATGTGATGACTCTCACCTTCTCCTTCCTCCATCATAGCACGTGGCTGGGACAGGGCAAAGCACTGCATCGTTTCATATTTCTGGCGCATTTCAGGACTAGTGTTTATGTCTTCCAGAACGTCGTGTGGTATTTTCATCAACATACGGCAATTAAATGTATGGCTTTTTTGTCGCTGGGTCTCATTTGTCCAGGTAACTCCATTAACTTTAGAAAACAAATTGAAAGGAGTTTTTTAAAAGCTGGCAATTCAGTCCATGACTATCATCAAAAATTTAAGCTATAAATCAACTATACTCCAATTTAAAAAAAAAAGAAGAATTTAAGCTATACATATTTTCTCATTATACATCTTCCACAGTAATTTCTACAATAACATTTCAAAGTGGCAATATATAAAACACTGGAATAATTTCAATTTCAAATTCAACAGGTATCTCACTTCTATTTTGTAACTCACTGTATATCTTAGACCCATGAAATGTATACCAAACTCTAAATTCGTATTAGAAAATTTTGCTATCTACCACTTGCCCTGTTCTACATAAATCATCACCTGGCTTTCTAAAAGGTATATTTAATTTTCTAAGAAATGATCAAGAAAAAGAAATTTTTTTAACTTACTTAGAAAATACAGGGACTTCCCTGGTGGTCCGGGGCTAAGACTCTGTGCTCCCAATGCAGGGGACCCAGGTTCGATCCCTGGTCAGTGAACTAGATCCCACATGCCACAACTAAAGATCCCCTGTGCCACAACGAAGATCCCGCAGGCGGCAACAAAGATCCCACGTGCCGCAACTAAGATCCAGCACAGCCAAGTAAATAAATAATTTTTTTTTTAAAAAAGAAGATACATATTAAAAGCCTACCTGTAGATTTCGGTAAGTTTTTAAGAAAATCCTTTCTGTCTTCTTCATGCAAAATATTGTAGACACTTGTGTTAACCAGGTCCTCTTGCTTATACTGCAGGTACTGGGTGACATTTTCTGACACAAACACAATGTTTGCTTCACGATTCACCACAAACAGGAAGCCATCCAATGCCTGAAGTGGGATATGTTAATATTGGCTATTATGGACTGAACTGTATCCCTTCCCCCACCAAAATTCATATGTTGAAGCCTTAAACCTCAATGTGACTGCATTTGGAGATAGGGCCTTTCAGGAGGTAATTAAGGTTAAATGAGGTCCATAAGGGTAGCTCTAATCCAATAGGACTGGTGTTCTTATGAGAAGAGAGACAGTCACTAGAAATGCACACACACAGAGAAAAGGTCACGTGAAGACACAAGGAGAAGGCAGCCATCTACAAGCCAAGGAGAGAGGTAGGTCTCAGGAGAAACCAAGCCTGCCAACACCTTGATCTTGGACTTCCAGCCTCTAGAACTGTAAGAAATAAATTTCTGTTGTTTAAGCCACACAGTCTGTGGTATTTTGTTATGGCAGCCTTAGCAGACTAAGACACCAGCCATAGTACTAAATAGAATTTGAAAAAAACTGTTGATTTAACAACTATGAGCCATCATTTCTATTAACATTAGCACCATCAATACAGGGCTGTATGAAAAAGACAATTTGAAAAGATGACAATAAAGACAAAATCTGAATTATAACATCTAATCTAATTTTTGAAGAATTACTTCTTCAAAGGAGTTTTTAAAAATATGAAAAATCATCCTTAGTGCTTCCCATTTTTCCATTTGTTACCAAGTCAAGCTACAGGAACTATACCACTCCTTAGTGAGAATTTACAAAGAGGAACTGAACTGATCAACTAATAAGTAGCTGGAACAAACTAATTGGAACAAAAACAGTTGATAAGTGAACCTGAATAAAGGGCTTCAGGTCATGACTTAAAAAGAAATATTCTGTAAGTGCTATCGCTTAACTCAATCTATTTAAGACAACTACTTACAAAAAACACGTATTTTAAGTCTTAAAACTTCCTCAAAAATATAAAACTGTAGTGTGCCATACTATCAATTATGCAAAAATACACAAAAAGGTCTGAGCTAAAATATGCCCAAATGCATTGTTATTGCGGGGGGGCAGGGCACCACAGGACCTCACGAGTTATGTATATTTTAAATATAAGAGCATTTTTTATCATCATATTCAGAATACTGAGTTCTACCTCATGAAAAGAAACATTTTCTTTTTGCTCTCATATCCTAGCCAGAATTTTTTTCTTTCTTTCTTTCTTTCTTTTTAAATCAACTCAGCTTATTGTATAGCTAAAACCTTGTACTTGCCTGAAGTAAAAGTGGTCCTAAGGAGTCTTTATCAATGACTCCTTGTCCTGTGGAAGATACATCAGCTTTCTGAACATCATCATCACTGGAAATAGCTTTTCCTAAAAAGACATAAGGCAATACTACAAATAGCATATGTATCAGTTATAGATTAAATCCACCTTCAAATTGTTCCCCGGACAGACACAAAGAGACACGCAAACAGATGTGCATAAGCACATACACATTTCCTGATAAGAAAATGATGCTACAGTTTTTAAAGGTTAAAATTAAACTTCTGAGTCACCCAGGAGGACAGAAGATACTCTAAATTTTCTTTCTCTACTAAATGTACTATCCCATTGCTTCCTGAAAGGGACCTAACAAGTGACAGGGTGAGCAACACTGGCCTTCTTCCAATCCTGGTGACTGTTTCCTAAAGAGCAAAGCTGGTCAACTCATTTGTCCATCTAGCCCCACAGAGGACAGCCCTCAAGGAGCAGCAGTTCCCACCTAAGCGACAGGTAGCAAAAGGCAAATGTGAACACAGTTAACAAGTTCCTTCTAAAAGACTTGAGTGTTTTCTTACTTTGTATTACCTTGCTCTTTTATTTGACGTATCTGTCTTACTGTTTCCTTTAAAATTGCACATTTATCTGGTTTGACATTGAAGTTGTCAATATCACTAAGATTAGCAGATATCAGTTCAGCCAATTCTTCAATATATTTACTCTCCTGCTCCCGTCTCCACTTTTCACCATTGCAGGTAAGGCTGGGGGAGGGGGGCGGGGGGGGAAAGGCCATAAATATATCTATCACAAAAGAGCTATGAGCAGAATCAGTACCTACACAACACCATTACACTTATATATAAACAAACTAAATTCAGCCCATAAAGACTCTACCAAAACATTGTCTTGGAGACCTAGTACAATACAGTTGAAATTCATGCAAACCTAAATTCAAGTCCACCTGTTGTTAGCCTAGTGGCCTTAGGCATTAGTCTCATCTGGAAAATGGGGATAAATAGTCTTTACCACGAAGAGACAATAAAATTAACAAATAATAAAAATAGTAATAGCTACTTATTAATAATTATGAGGTCTTATGAATTATAGGCTGTTTTTTATTTTGCAACCATCACAGTGAAATTCAAGTGATACTGACCTTGGCAAATACTAAAAAAGCTATGACATATCACTGCATAAGATAGAATATTTTATTTCTATTTTTTAAACTTCTAACTTCATTCAGGAAAAGAATGATGAAACCTCACAATTGCCAAAATATCAACTTGTAACGTGTTCTTAAAGGATACTAAAGATTCTTACTTGTAATAATCTTGTCGATCTATTCCTAACTCTTAACGTCCTCTATTGAGAAATGTTTCTTACAATATCACACAGTTAGTATAATATTCTCATTTCTATCTGAATCAGCCATAAAGCCTCTATTATAACATAAGAATGTCCCCATCTCATCATTGTACCACTGTACTTACTACAAAGCAAAATCATATTATTTAAACAAAGACAAAAACAAACAAATCTAACCAGAAAATGCAAATAAAGAAAGCTGAAATGGTATCTTCAAAACAAATAAAGGCAGGGGAGGCGCCCTTGGTGAAGTATTAGGAAATAAACTGCTTACCCTTGTCCTGGAGTATCACACGGCAACTTGCGTTTTCGTGAATCAGGGGCCAGTGGATCCAAGGGGTTTTCTCCTAATCCACTCATCATGAATATACATCAGCAACTAAGAAAGAATAATAAGATACAAACATTATAAAATATTCATGACTCTCATAAAGGTGTCATATGCTCGAATGGCTGCATTTTGTAATTCAGATCTGCTCCCCTAAATGGTTAGATAATTCTCAAAATTCTTTATAGTACACAACTGTTCTGAAGACCTCAAGAGTTCATATTCCAGTTTAATTATGCAGAATGTCCATCCAACCCCAGGACAAATGTTTCTCAAGACTGAGTAAAAATGCGTATATTTACAAAACGTAAGGTAGACAGCTAGTGGGAAGCAGCCACATAGCACAAGGAGATCAGCTCGGTGCTTTGTGTCCACCTAGAGGGGTGGGATAGGGAGGGTGGGAGGGAGGGAGACGCAAGAGGGAAGAGATATGGGAACATATGTATATGTATAACTGAGTCACTTTGTTATAAAGCAGAAACTAACACACCATTGTAAAGCAATTATATTCCAATAAAGATGTAAAAAAATGAGTATATTGAATACCTCACAAAGAACAAGGCATCTTCTGCATAGTTAATAAGAAAAAGAGACTGTCAACTCTCCAACTGATAAAATCCTAAGTTTTACTTATACACAAATAAGATCTTATCTTGTCAATTGGTAAGAAGTCTTCAAATGATAAATACCTAAATTATTTTCAGGCTATTTTCAAGGTAGCACATTTTTTCCTTAGACCATTTCTTTAGTTTTTATCAACCAATGTGTTTTTCTTCTACTACTTCAAAATAAACTGAGATTGTGTAAATAACATGTAAACTCCATACATTCTGCTTACAAATTAGATGTACAACAATAAAACTCCAGGTGGGAGGATTTTGAGAAGATCCACAGAACAATTATTTTAATATTAACTGATGGAAATATAATATGCCTTAGTTAAAGTTGCATTGATAAAATAAATGTAGGCTATTTCTTGTTGAAAAAACAGCAGATTTTAATACTCAGTGGCTCATAATTTTAAGACATCTACTAAGCCTTCACTTAACAAGAATTTTATTTGTCTTAAACTCTTGTTTACGAAGACAATCACTGCTATAAAGAATTCCAAGTCAACGGAGAAGTTCAAACACTCCAAACTACTTTTTCTTCATTTGTTAAAATGCATCTTGCATTCCATCTAGTCTGAGACATACATTGAAGGACATAAATTTCCACTAGGTGGCACAATACTGCCAGGATGAGAGACAAATAGAAATGCAAAATTTTACACAAGATCCTGAATCAAACTTAAAATATGTAGCTTTAAAAAAATCAAATTCGGAAGTTTTAGATTACATTAGCACCTTTCAGATGTTCTAGGTATGAATTAAACACCAACGAAATTTATTCTACCAATAATTTTGATAGTAAAGGCTGAAAAGCTGATACAACGTTTTAAGAACTTGGTGTGGTTTTTTTCTCACAACGTAAGTTAAAATAAAATAGAAAAACAAAATAACTTTCACTAATGTGGCCTGCTTATTTACTTGTTTGTTTATTTGTTTATTTATTTTTGGCTGTGTTGGGTCTTCACTGCTGTGCACAGGCTTTCTCTGGTTGCGATGAGCGGGGGCTACTCTTCGTTGCGGTGCGCCGTCATCTCACTGCAGTGGCTTCTCTTGTTGCAGAGCACAGGCTCTACGCACGTGGACCTCGGTAGTTGTGGCTCGCAGGCTCTAGAGCGCAGGCTCAGTAGCTGTGGTGCACAGGCTTAGTTGCTCTGCAGCATGTGGGATCTTCCCAGACCAGGGCTGGAACCCGTGTCCCCTGCATTGGCAGGCAGATTCTTAACCACTGCACCATCAAGGAAGCCCCCACTAATGTGGCTTAATGTCATGATTTTAAAGTGTAACCACGGGGACTTGCCTGGTGGCGCAGTGGATAAGACTCTGTGCTCCTAATGCAGGGGGCCCAGGTTCGATCCCTGATCAGGGAACTAAATCCCACATGCATGCTACAACTAAGAGTTTGCATGCCACAACTAAGGAGCCAGCGTGCCACAACTAAGGAGCCCATGTGCTGCAACCAAGGAGCCCTGGAGCCGCAACTAAGAAGCCTCCCTGCCACAACTCTAAGGAGCCCGCTTGCCGCAATTAAGACCCGATGCAGCCAAATAAATTTTTAAAAATAAAATTTAAAAATAAAGTGTAACCAGATCCCACAATGCCACAATACTATGTTCTTCAAAAATGACAATGTCATAAAAGACAAAGTCTTTAAGTATTCCAGATTAAAGGAGCTAAAGAGAAATGACAATTAAATGCAAAATTTGATCCTAGACTAGATCCTGTACTAGAGGGGGAAAATGCTATAAACGACACTATTGGATCAACTAACAAAATTTAGAATATGGACAATAGATAAAGTATTTCACCAATGTTAAATTTACTGAAGTTTATTTCTGTACTGTGGTTATTTAAGAGACTATCCCTATTCTTAGTATTTAGGACAAAAAAGCCATTATGCACACAAAGGACCCTCCAATGTTTGAGGGGGGTGGATTACATACGAGTGAGTGAGCGAGTAACAGGAGAAGAGGAGGGAAAGGGAAGGGAAGAAGAGAAAAGAAAGGAGGCCAGCAAATGGACACTGGTTGAATCTCAGCTGGGCAGAAACTTTAAAATTTTTTGTACTATTCTTTCTCTTGCAACTTTGCTTTAACTTTAAAATTATTTCCAAATAAAGTTAAAAGTATGTTCATCTTTTCTGATCCGCCATCTGCGGTGGCACCACCGCCAATATGCAGATTTTCGTGAAGACCCTGACGGGGAAGACCATCACTCTCGAGGTCGAACCCTCAGATACAACAGAAAACGTAAAGGCCAAGATCCAGGACAAGGAAGTAATTCCTCCTGACCAGCAAGACTGATCTTTGCTGGCAAGCACCTGGAAGATGGACGTACTTTGTCTGACTACAACACTCAAAAGGAGTCCACTCTTCATCTTGTGTTGAGACTTCGTGGTGGTGATAAGGAAGAAGTCTTACACCACTCCCAAGAAGAACAAGCGTAAGAGAAAGAAGGTTAAGCTGGCTGTCCTGAAACACTATAAGGTGGATGAGAATGGCAAAATCAGTCACCTTCGTCGGTAGTGCCCTTCAGATGAATGTGGTGCTGGAGCTTTTACGGCCAGCCACTTTGACAGACATTATTGTGGCAAATGTTGTCTGACCTATTGTTTCAACAAACCAGAAGACAAGTGATTGTATATTGGTTAATAAAAGACATGAACTAATGAACTAACGTTAAATGTTGAGTTTTATTCCAATGATTTTAAAAGTGGGTTTTAAGCATCAAATTAATCGCACTACTTTCTTAGGTAACCTGTACTTGGCAGAATTATGTTGTATTTGATACCAGCTGTCTAGATACAGGCCAGTTTCTTTGTACCTCAGCAGTATTGACATTTTTGACTGATAATTCTTGGTTGTAGGGACTTTCCCATGTATCATAGGGTGATGAATAGCATCCCTGGTCTGTACCCACTCGCTGCCAGTAGCACACCACCCCTCCCCAAAACCAAAAGTATCCAGACATTGCCAAATGACCCCTGGGGGTGGGAAGGAACCTCCCCCACCCCCAGATTGAGAAACATTGGTTTGTGTGAATTGGTATTATAACCTTGCCTAAAAAGAAGCTACAACATATCGACACTTGTTTCCTACAAAGGAAGTTTAAAGGCAGCAGAGCTCTCAAGTTACCACTTTAAAAATTCATCTGCATATGGCTGGTTCACTTTGTTGTACAATATAAACTAACACAGTATTGTGAAGCAATTATACTCCAATGAATATCTATTAAAAAAAAAGTACGCTCAGTTTTGATTTCCAATTTTCATGTTTAAAAAGAAAAAGTGGGGGCTTCCCTGGTGGCGCTGTGGTTGAGAGTCTGCCTGCCGATGCAGGGGACACGGGTTCGAGCCCTGGTCTGGGAAGATCCCACATGCCGCGGAGCAACTAAGCCCGTGTGCCACAACTACTGAGTCTGTGAGTCTGGAGCCTGTGCTCCGCAACAAGAGAGGCCGCGATAGTGAGAGGCCCGCACACCGCGATGAAGAGTGGCCCCCGCTTGCCACAACTAGAGAAAGCCCTCGCACAGAAACGAAGACCCAACACAGCCATAAATAAATAAATAAATAAATAAATAAATAAATAAATAAATAAATAAATAAATAAATAAATAAATAAATAAAAATAAAAAAGAAAAAGAAAAAGTGATTCCTTAAGAACAGAAATAGAACATTGTAAAGCAACTATACTCCAATACAAATTAGTTTAAAAAAAACAGAAATAGGGGCTTCCCTGGTGGCGCAGTGGTTGAGAGTACGCCTGCTGATGCAGGGGACATGGGTTCGTGCCCCGGTCCGGGAGGATCCCACATGCCGCGGAGCGGCTGGGCCTGTGAGCCATGGCTGCTGGGCCTGCGCGTCCGGAGCCCGTGCTCCGCAACGGGAGAGGCCACAACAGTGAGAGGCCCACGTACTGCCAAAAAAAAAAAAAAAACAGAAATAGAGTAGCCACAACTCAATACAATTCTTTTTATATTTGTTTCATTCAAAGGTTATTTTTAAATTGAGTGGCCAACCATCGAGTGAATAATAGCATTTTATTTTAAAAATATAATTTACGGGCTTCCCTGGTGGCGCAGTGGTTAAGAGTCCACCTGCTGATGCAGGGGACACGGGTTCGTGCCCCGGTCCGGGAAGGTCCCACATGACGCGGAGCGGCTAGGTCCGTGAACCATGGCCACTGAGCCTGCGCGTCCGGAGCCTGTGCTCCACAACGGGAGAGGCCAGAACAGTGAGAGGCCAGCGTACCGCAAAAAAATAAATAAATAAATAAATTATATATATATAATTTACTCCACATTCTAGATATTTCCTTACTTTAACGTTAAACACAAGCTGAATCCTCAAAACTGAGTAATGAACTCTTTAGTGGATAACAGCATTTGATTTGAAAGACATAATTTATTCTATGTTCTCAGTATTATTC